GAGGGAGAGAGACAGCTGAGAGTGTTTTGGGGGAGAGACACAGGAAGAGAGAAAGGATGAGAGTGGGCCGGGGTGGGGAGACAAAACCAAAAGAAGTGGGTCCTGTTGGGCACACCATTTAAGACCCAAATAGTAACTATTTCAAAATATCTTTCAACCCAAAGTGAAATTATAAAAATGGCCTTCCGTTCCTTAAATTTCAGAACGGGTTGTTACAGTAATACTAGGAAGATTAAATTGGTAAACAAAATTTGCAAACTAAATGATGTCACCAATAGGAATAAGCACTTTTATCAACGCTTGAGTCATAATTTAATCAACAACTTTCACGGCATTTAGTTTGCAAAATTTTGTTTACAAACTTAATCTCCTTAGCATTACCTTTTAACAAAGGCAAACACTAAGAATTATAACCATATTTTGTGGACCACGTGTGAAAGAACATACTAAACATTATTTGGCTTTTAAACATTACCGCGACATTAGCTACAAAATATGAGACCCATCGTGAAATATTTATAAATCAAAGTATCAATATATGGAGTAGGCAAGAGAGCAGCTTTTCTTGATAGTCTCCTCCCCTATATCCAGCATCTCTCCAAGCCTTTCACTTCCCCTTTTTCTGAATTTAATTTGTTGTTTTTCCATTTGGATTAATTATCAGCTAACAAATTTCAATTACAGAAAAACTTCGAAACAGTACAAAGTTCCCTATGGCAGTCGATGGACATAAACGGTACAAGGTGAGTAGCAAAAGGTCAAAACATCCTTAAAAAAGTTCCTTAAAAAATTAAGCTAAATACTCTAATCTGAATTTTAGGAGGATATTAAGCTTATCAAGGATGCCGGACTAAATTCTTACAGATTCTCCATCTCCTGGAGTAGGATTTTATCAAGTAAAAAATCATTTCTTCTTTATTCTGTTATTTTCAAAAATTTGTTTGATTATTTATAAGAAACTGATGGAGTGTTGATGGATCCTACGCAGAGGGAAGCTTAAGTAGCGGAATTAACCAAGAGGGTATGGATCACTACAATAGCTTCATCGATGAACTAATAAAAATGGTGAGAAAGCTACCAGTTTTTATATAGTTAGTTGAATTAAGTATGTGTTTGGTTTAATGTATTTTCTGCGTTCTAACGCAGGCATCACACCTTTCGTGACGATCTATCACTTTGACATGCCACTAGCCCTGGAAGAGAAATATGGAGGCTTACTGAATCGCTCATTTGTGTAAGCCTTTTTCGAAAACCATTTTGCACGCATGTCATTTTGTAAACATGAATTGAAAAATATGAACTTCAAAAGATAAACAAATAGTATAATATCAATCTCATAATGTATAATAATGTTACGGTCGACTTTCCACGAATGACTTTAGAGACTATAGCGAACTTTTATTCAAATTTTTTGGAGAGAGAGTTAAACATTGGTTCACAATTAATGAGCCAAACGTTCTTGCTCAATATGGTTATGAAATTGGGATTTCCCCACCAGGGAGGTGTTCACTTCCATCAACCCTTTGTGCATTACGGTCTCCTGTGAAATGTTTCGAGAATGTCGGTCCATGCAAGTTTGGTGGTAACTCGTCAACAGAACCTTACCTTGCAGCCCATAACATAATCCTTGCCCATGCCGCTGTGGCTAAGCTCTACAGAGAAAAATATCAAGTGAGAGACTCGAGGAAATTCAAACGAATTCAACTGTTTCAACTTTTTAATCTTATTACTAAAATTTAGTTTGAATGTCATCTTCTAGGAACAACAAAAGGGTGAAGTTGGAATCGTCCTCGTTTCACAATATTTTTTGCCATATACAGAGTCAGAAGAAGATAAAGCCGCAGCAGGAAGACTTTTTGACTTCTACCTCGGATGGTGAGTAGAAGCCTTCAATATCATGATCATTGATGATCATGAGAACTTGCATGTTTTAATCATTTTATGATAAGTTTTTTCATTAGTAATGTTACTTTTTATGCATTAGGTTTATGGGACCATTAGTATTCGGAGATTATCCACAAAGTATGAGAGAGAGGGTGAAGGAGAGGCTTCCCACTTTTTCTGCAGAAGAGAAAGTTCTGCTCAATGGGAGTTTAGGGTTCGTTGGAATCAATTATTATACATCTTCGTATGCCAAACATAAGGCTCCTGCTCCAGGTGAGGCGTTGCATTATTCCTTCAACACATGGGCCGAAACAATAGGTGAGATACCTTGCTCTCTGGAACCATATATAGGACAAAAGAAAAATCAAACATAAAGTATAGTTTTAATATTCCGTCTTGTTGATCGTGTTTTGATTGTTGCAGCCATCAAAGATGAAGAATTGCTTGGTGTCGTAAGAAACTTTTTGAAATTCTATGTTCTTGCAAGTTTTGTAAGAAATGAAATATCGGTGTTGTCTTTGTTTGAGGAAAATGTGTGGTTAATTTTTTCCTTACGGTGCAGACCGATGATCATTGGCCGGAAGGGCTTCAGAAGCTGTTGGAGTACGTAAAGGATAAATATCAAAATCCAAAAGTCTACATTTCTTTGAAAATGGTTCGATTTCTTAAGCTTCAGTTAATCCTTGTATATATACTGTTAATCAAAATATCCATAACAAAAATAAAGAAGGATGACATTGTATCTTCTACACCTTTTCTTTGTAGGAATTTCTGATCACAAGGACAATGGCTCTCCACTTGAAGTACTTCTAGAGGATCCATATCGAATTTCCTTTGTTACTTGTCACTTGTATCAGATCAATAAGGCAATTAAGTAAGTGATGATGTATTTTTTTATTTGACACCGAAAACAAATATAATGTCTCATTCTTAACAAAATTATTGCAGGGATGGAGTGAATGTCAAGGGGTACTTTTATTGGGCTCTGTTCGATGACCTTGAATGGGGTATGGGGTTCGAACGTTATGGGATTTACTTTGTTGATTTCAATAACTACACGCGCTACCCCAAGCTTTCTGTTAAGTGGTTACGAGCTTTCCTTCAAGGCTGAGGTCCTGCTACAGGTAATGCCTGAGTGATCGGTTGTTCAAACTTAATATCGTTGAATCCTACATCGGCAGTAGAAAGAGAGAAATAATAGTTTAAATATCTTAACCCCATGCCAACTGATACCGAGGCTTTTTGTGATAAAACCCCACACTTGACGGATTGTGCAATTGACAATTATCAAGTTGGAGACAATATCGGTCATGTTGGAAGTCTCCGATGTGGGTCGTCACTATTCTAGTTTATTGGAAACGCCATATCCTGGCGCGCCATGGCTGTAATTGGTAGCATGTTTGTATATGGATCAAAATTGAATCAAACAATTAGTACTGTGAGATTTACACATTCGGGTGCTATTCCGCCTCCACTGTAAAATATTGGTTTGTTTTTTGTTCGAGAGTCTCCAAGGTGGCTGATGAGCGTCTCGTAAAAGTAAAACAAATCAGAAGTCAGTAACCAGCCATAATTGGTAAACATAAATACCTTGAAGCAGCTATGCAGCGTCTTGGAGAAACGAATGCGTGCACATCTCAAGAAGCATCTGATATCATGATAATGTATTTGAGTCTGAAAATGTTCTCCTGGCATGCAATCAAGAAATAAGATCATTTTTTATAGTGCCTTGACAGGATTATACAGAAATATTTGAGCAGAACTCGGAAAGAACGCTTGACATGTTTCGGAAGAGATATGCTCACTCACTCAATATAGAAATATGATTACAAAATTCATGATCACCTGCTGTTCTGTTTCACCTTCCGCTTTCTTTATGTTAACAGACAAATGGGGAAAATGACCGCTTCTAAGGTGAGTATGGCAAAGTGTATAACTTCTTTTTGGTGTTGTACATCAATTACTTCACAAGTTAAGTAACCAAATGTTTGCCGCAATGTGCTTGGCATTCGTCTTCCAGGTTTCTCCCCAAATCATATTCTGAAACATGATCTGTTACTCTGCTGTTTGCAAATAGATATGATCATTCGTTGAATATGTCTTTGTCATGGCAGGACTTCCATCTGTGGAAGAAGCTTTACTACAGTATTTGTGCTCATCAGCTTCTTGGGAAAACAAGTACATTCCCATTTTTTCAAAGGAGTAGGAAGTTATTTGAGCAACATTCTGTTTTCAGGTTTCTCCCTAAACAAAACTTTGATGCTTCTTGTTTTTTGTTGCCGTTTGCTTCTCACACAAATGTTCATTATTTGAAGTACACCATTTCTGTTATGGAAGGGCCTCCACCTGTGGATGAAAGACACTAAGTTCTTGTGTTCGTAGCCATGTTGGGTTACGCTGTATCACTCGTGATTGGCATGGCAGGATTTCCCTGGGTTATTATGTCAGAGGTAGGTAGCTTTACTATTTATTATCCGAAATTTGGCAGAAAAAAATCAACTTCTGTTATGAAGATTTGATGAGTTTTTGTTTTCAGATATTCTCAGTAAATATTGAAGGCTAGGCCAGAAACTTGTTGAGTTTGATAAATTGGTCTTGTTCTTGGATAACAACTTACACCTTCAATTACATGATGGACTGGAGCTCAGCAGGTTGTAAAAAATTTCCCCTCTTCTTTCCCCTTTTTTTATTTCTGCCATATTTACTCATCACCAGTCTACTTCAGAAACGTTTTTCTTCTACTCGGCCTGTGCCGGTTAAGTGTTGTATTTGTGGCAAAAGGGCGAACTCTAGAAGAAATAGAAGCATCACTTGTTTAATAAGATGAATACACAAGGGTCCGCCCTCAGTAACCCTTTAACTTTGTAGACTTACTTGCACTGGCGCAGCTGCAGCTTCAAGTACAAGAATAATTACCAATGTGAGTGCAGTTGAAAGGGGGTGAATTTGGGAATGTAATTTAAAGTTCAAAATGTAATTTGAGTATTAATACGGAATTTCAAAAGGGTTAACATCTTGTGTTATGACGAGAAATTTCGCTAGTGACACAAAATATGACATCAATTAAAAGACAGATAATGTTGGAGTCATCAAGAAAATTTGACACTTAATGCAACTAGAGAGAGAAAAAGATTACTATTATGAAATTCAACAGTTCAAAATGAAAGAGAATGGTAATCTCTAAGAGATACGATTGAGTGAGATCAATGGAGGAACCACGTTCGGGATCAAAAGTATTTCAAACTACATGCAGACACGGTCAGTGCTGCAAGAACAGATAATGAGGTTTTCATTCGCTTGGTAGTGAACTTCTCATCAGGTTGCTTTCCCCACAACATAGAGTTTGCAGCTTCATTGCACTGTGGATGGAATCAGAACTTGCCTGTTCCAGGCTTCCAGCATCTGCCTGGAATTTTGAGGGAAAGACATAGCTGAAAACTCGTTTACACCCCTTCAATGGTTCCTCCTTAAGAGTTTTCCACACCTACAAGAATAATATCGATTGAGAAGAACACATATTAATAACCCTTGTAGATATCCAACGGTGATATTAGTTGTCGTGAAAAAAATACTTTACCTTCCTTACATCGCTCTGATTGTCCTCCAATTCCTACCAGACAGTTCACAAGAACACATTAGCACACAACAAAATCAAAATAATTTATCATCACAGATCTGGAAGTGGTGGAACTTACATGAAAGAACGTAGTATGGATTTGTTTCAAAACATCAAGAGCAGCTGCAAGAGCTCCTTCAGTATCACTTTCATCACTCTTCAACTCAGAAAGGGACTTACATTTGAACCCACCTTTGTCACTACTCGATCTAAAGAAATGATATTTTTCGATCAATATTAGATTGCTGTTGTGCTTTGTCCATGCCTACAATATTGGATATTTAGCAACATTGATATAACCCTAGTTTAAAAAAGATAAACCACAGATTACTGATGGCGAGTTATCTATAAACACAGCACTTCTAATTTGCAGTACATCAAGGAATCAAGTACCTACATCTTCTTTATCATCAAGGATTAAAACAGCATTCTCTTGTCCAAGCACAATATCTAGACCTTTTTGATGTCTTTTGATGGCATCCTCACATGATATCACTCTATCACTGAAGTACTCTTTCCTGGGATCAAGCAGCTTCGCCATTTCGAGTGCATAGACTCGTGTACCCATTGTATATATGTACATCTCAAACATTTCACTGGCCTCCTTTAAAAATGTCCTAACAAAAGGCCTCAACTTGATCATCCTATCCACAATGTCCACCTTGAATAGGCTACCTTTTGAAACATCTACAAGTATCATATTGCAACCAAAATGAGTAAATTCAGTGAAAAAAGACGTTAAGTTACAAAATTAAGTAAATCTAGTCAACCTTATACACCTTGCAGGGAATCAGCTGTTTGGCTCTTTAAGTATTCTTCTTCTGCAGTCATACGATCCAGTTTGGTGGAATTTAGCAGTGTGTGATCTAAATCAAGTACCAAGTAAAGCTTCTTATGGCGCATCGCCCCCTTGAGGTCTATTTTGCGTAACCGATCAACTTCATCACTGTGAAGCCTTAATCCCTGCAGAAGCAAGCATTTCAGCACCATATTAATTACAATTTACATCAATATACGTATAAGAATATGGAAATAGATTGAGTAGTCATTGATCCATATATCCAGGAAATTTTCCCCGCATGTGGGCTGTAACTTTAAGCTATAGAATTTGTTAAAAAGACATCAACTCCGTTATAAATAAAACACGATAGCAAGACTGTAAGAGTGAAGTTCATTAATTAGAAAGAAAGATGCACGTAGTCAGGGGGATGTAACTAGATTACCTTACAAAATGCATACAAAAAACATACAACCGAAGAAAAACGACAACAAAGCAAGAAAGTATGCAAAAGCAAATACATCATAACCTAGCTACTTAAGTTGTTCCGTACAACTCTTCAAAACATAAAGCTCAGCAGTTATAAAAATAGAATGGTGAGTCATCCATATATACATAACATAACTAGATAATGGATATATGAAACTGTTAGGTTTCTTTTCTGGTAATTTATCCTTCCCATCAGGGATTGGTAATTCATCAATTACAAGCCAAAACTGGCAGGAATTTAAGCAAAGACATCAAAAATCTTTATTCATGAATTACATTTTAATTACCTTGTGTATATACCCAAATACCACACCAAATTTGTCATCCACCGGCTGCCCACAAACTATACACATATGTTCGAATGAACCAGGATGAGCACAAATATCCTTCTTTCGGGATGATTCTGCACATAGTAACAAAGTGAAGTCAACATCTGTGCGCCTTCAAAAGGAAAAAGGGATGTGCACAATCACCCTTTGAGGATGCTTGAGCACATAAATTGCAGCGTTTTTGTGAGAAACTTTTTGTTGTTTGTTTGAGCAGAAAAGGGTGGAAATTTTTTCCCAATTAAAGTATCAACTCCTTAGTTTATGTTCGGTGATTTCAAGACAAGTGACTTTTCTGGCCTCAGTTAAGCCCATAACTAAAGAATATAGTGAAAAAATAAATTATGTCCTAGAAATTCATTTACTCTTCAAAACATTCAGCCAATTAACCTGGTACTAGTACATATAAGTTAACTGAAAATGATTAGTACTTCTAACAAGAATCTATCAACATAAACACCAGAATGACTGCATCTAAAACTTTCGGCTTTCATCAATCTAAGGGCAGAGACACAAAAACAGGCCGAAAGCCAGATATACATGGCAAGAAAGTAGAGAATAGGACCACTGCGGTAATATTAAAAATGAGGTCTCGCGACTAACTAATCTTTCTTATGATCACAAATTATCACTCGCACTACGAAGCACTTTCTTGCAGTGCAAGGAATTGGAAGGGTATAGCTCGTAAAACGAACCAAAACACTATCCCAACTTAGTCAAAATTAGTTAGTTACTTGAGTTTTCTTCTACAAGTACTTGTGAGCCTGACCCTTGAGTTTCCTCTATGCTTCCAAGATCCTCCTCCTTACACCGCTTTCTACTGCAAAGTAACTATCATAAGTTATATCTAAGAAAAGTGGAACATCAAAGAAACTTTGTTCCAGTTACAGGAACTGTGAATCTAATAGAAACTCATGCTACATTAACAATAAAAGAAAAAGAAAAGGATTTCCGTACCTCCTATCAGTGTCGACTTCACTATCATCATCAAATTCTTCATCCAGCGAGGACTTGCAGGAAGAACTAGAAGAGTGTTGTGGCAAATTGGCAAGACTCATCTAAATTATTCATGCACAAGAAAGAATTTGACATATGCTAATTAAATCTCAAGGTGGATTGATAAGGGTGAAAAGATATGACTGCAACATAATATACACATAAAGTACGAAAAATCACTAAATCAAAAACATCAAGGTTTCTACAAATAGGAATCAGCAATTTAAACAGTTTTATAGAATGTCGCAGCCGATCAATGATCAGTAGTTAATTGTTGGCAAACACACACCAAGAATCAGGGCAATAAAATCGCACCTTTTGTGAGGTTTATTGGGTACCGACGGCAGGAAGAATAGTGGGGAAGAGTATAAAGATCGATTTCTGGAAGATAGTTTTCTTCTTCTGTTTCTTGCGTATAATCTGCAGACAAGAGTCCTACTTTTACTAGAGAAATACCTTAATGATAATTACCAACAAGCATTAACTCTGCAGTTTTTCTAGTAAATCTAATACACCTTAATTATGTTTTTTTTTTTTTTAATATAAGGGATATACTACCTTAATTATATTTTAATTTCCAAAATTAACTCTCAACAAGGTTTAGGGTTTATATCTACCGTAATTATATTGCAATTTCCAAAATTAACTCTCAACAAGGTTTAGGGTTGCGAAACTGTTGGATGCGCTGATGGTGGTAGATTTAGGATCTAGGGTTTATGGATGCTAAACTGTTTGATGGGCCATGGTAGTAGGGCACAGGGTTTGGTTCCCCCGCGTCTCCATCTACTTCAATTTTCTTGTTATATATCTCTTACTGGACTAGTTTCAGAAACTAAGTTGGAATGCTTAGACGGGACTAAGCTAGACTGATTTAGTAAAGCATTTAATGCAGTGTCAAACTAAAAAACAAAATAATTAACAGATTATAATATTACCCATTATTTAATACATTCCAATAATATTTTATTAATTATTCAACGTCTTTTTTTCTTTTCTTTTTTTCCTAAAAATCTATGCCCCTCTGTGGAAATTTCTTCCTTCTTCTCCCTCTTTAGCTCGATCCCATCTCTTTTTTCTTTCTCTTTTTCCTAGAAAACCCAAATCCTTCCCATATTTCCTTTGAAGTCTATAATCTATACAACCAATCAATCATCATCTCTATCAATTATTTGAATGACTCCATTAATTTTTCCAATTTCTTGATTTTCTTTTTCCGGCAAGTTGGACAAAGTGTCAATCGAGAAAGAAAGAAGCTTTGAGCATTATTTGAAACAGAGAAAAGGGTTTTTTAGAGATGGGTAGAAGAAGAAAGCAAAGGCCAAGGGTTTTCTGGAAATTTTCTGTTCATCCCCAAAGCCAACCATCTGGGATTTTTTTGGGAAAAAGGAAGAACAAGCACTGCCGACTGTTGGCCACGATGATGACGCCGTAGAAGAAGAAGGAAGCCCAAGGATTGGATGTCACTGTTTAGCAAGCAAAAGATGGGGTCTGGATCTTGGCCTCAATTTTCTTTTAGTCCCGCTTAATACCGAGCGAAAGTATGGGACTAGATAATGGGGTTTAGCGAAGCGGGGAGGGCCTCGTAGTTGAGGCTAGTCCCATTTATTGTAGTCCAAGGCCTTATCAAACATAGGATAATAACCCAGTTAAGACAGTCCAAGCCAGTCCCTCCTAAGAAGGTGAAACAAACACACCCTTAAACCGTTGGATTTGGATTGAGTCTACAGTTAGCACAAATCAACCATATTGGTAAAAAATACCCTTGCTTTTCAGTAGGTGGTAGGGTAATGCTATGTCAAAAATACTTTGCTTCTCTTTCTGGAATCTAATCCTCTCTCAGATCATCTCAAACCGAAATTGTAAAATATAGCCCTAGAAAAGTTTATTCACAGAAGCCACACAATATGTCATTCAGTTCACCTTTGTTGAGAATCAAAACTAAATCATTTCACTTACAAGTGAAGAGAAATACAACTAGACTGCACTAGACCGTAGTACCAACTACTAAGTTTTTTGCAAAAAAATATTTTTAAATTAAGAGTGTCAGGCCATACTCATTTATCATCAACTGAAGGGGCTAAACATAGCCCCCTAAATAATTTGTTAGTTTTAAGTTTATACTTTAATTTAGTTAAACTGTCATTTGATCTTTTCAAATCTAGCTGTTGAATTTGAAATCAATTATTATAATTGAGGAGTTGACCCCCAAAAAATGAGCTAAGAGGGGGCTACATTTTGCCAGCCTGATGCCTCTCTGGCCAAATAATAGCATGATAGGGTCCATAGAATTATAACCTAGTCATCGGTTGGAGATGAGTTTTTGGACAAATCAGGACAATTTTTTTATTTTTGGACCTTTGGCCTTCCTTATTGGAGATGAGGCTCATGAACACTTTCAGCCAATTTTTACAATACTAGATTGTGCTTGTGCTTTGTCCATGCCTACAATAACGATTAACGGATATTTAGCAACATTGGTAACCAGTATTTGAACTCTTCTGTTCTGGCCAATTTTACACTCGCGGTCACATGTTTAATTTCCCGTCCCCGACAGAAGAGGTCAAATACTGAGTTACCAGCTAAAAATCTGCGGCCGTAACGGTTCATACTAGAAATTCATGCTAGAAAGAGCTCAGTTTACTAATTTTCCGTCGAAAATCTGCAGCCGTAAAGGTTCTTTTAACTCTATTTCGTATGCCTGTAAATTCTTGTTTCAATGCGCGGTCAAATAGTAGCGCTGTAATGAAGAGAAAAACATTGCAGCAAAAAAAAAAAAAAAAAATACACAAAATGTTTCTGAAGTGGCACTAGAAAATGCCTGTACTATGCTTACACATGCACTCAGGCACAGGATATGCAATCACATCTCGGTTTCTTCTGTAACCCCTTGGTTCAGGCTGCCCCTGAGACTTTCTATGTAACTCTCTCATGATACTTCCGAACTCTGCATCACCGATGGAGTTGTCTTCAAACAGAGGCAGCATTGCTCGCTTGTTTGGCTTTATAAACTTTCTGTGTTCAACGTAGGCACGGTGACCCTGTCATGTCAAACATACAAAGCAAAGATGGGGAACATTTGATCAAATGTACTGATTAAGGTTAATTTCAAACAGAATTATCAGGATGAAAAAATGTTTTTCGGGTTCTTACTTGCATTGCTCGGCCCATGTTTCCACCGTGTGATGGCACAAAGACATCACTGCTCAGAGACACAATGTAGTCAATGGCAGCCAGAGCTGAAGCCTTGTTCATGTATGGAGAGAGTTCTCCATCCCGTGCCAACATCTCTTTTGTAACCAAATTCGGGAACTCTTCCACAAGTGGCTGCAGAGCCCTGTTGCCCCCAAATGCCTCGCCTCCTGCGCTGTATATCCGTGCACCTCTTGGTGCGCCTAGAGCTTTCAAAAACCTGCATTAAACATCCAACTTCAATCATGGTCCAAACAAACTATGAACTGCATTTCTACTCCTATATATACCTTGCTATTTCTAAAGCATTTAGGGGGCAAAGTCCAGCTAGTTTCCGCTGGGTGTAGCTCATGTTCAACCGTCCAGTGAGGTATTCGGGTCGAGATTCCCGAACCTTGGTGATCACGTCATCATATTCATGGCCTAAACCAGTGAGACATCCAGTTCTGACCCACACATCCTTCTCTAGCCGGAGATGGAGTGCAATATAAGGACCCTCAATCCACATTCTCTTTGTCAGTCGATTTCCAAGTTCTCGAATTGGTGCTGCAAATCTTAATGCATCAAAAGCTACCTGACATATAAACACAAAATGGGTGCAATGAAAACATGAACATACAATGTGTAGAAATATCTGATGGCGGTGATTAATTTCGTAATGTACCTTACACCGAAGCTTCTGCAGGTCCGGGGGAAGATTCTTGGAGAGCTTAGAATCCAACCCTTTTAACACAAGAAGGCCTTCTCTCTTCAGCTGCATTAACATCCATAACAAAATTTGAGGAAAATTATTTTCTTTCTTAGTTCAATTCGTTTCTCAACCAGAAAACCGGAAAATGACGTTGCATACTTGCAAACTAAAATTATGCGACAAGGATTCCTTACTTGATTATAGAATCTGCTAAGGATCCACTGCGGAGTAACGTCGTGTGGAATCTTGCTTTCGATATTCTGCCTTGACATCAAATGTGTGGAGGGAAGAGACGATACTATTCGTACATCAGCTTGTAAAGTCCTTTTGAAATGTGCCACATCGAAAATGTCCGAGAACTCACTGCAATTTCAACAAAACAAACCGATCGGTACGAAGCATTGATGCCAAAGCCGTTTACTTCATGCTTCTTTGATGCAAAAACAAAGACTTTCTTGCAAACACGAAAAATCGAACAAAACCAATGTTCTATTTCGGTACCAAAATCTAAAAATTCATGTTTTTACTTCATCAAACTTGTTAAAAAGGGCCGAAAACAACACCAAAACATGATCAAAAAACACAAATGGCAAACCTTTCGTCTCCCCAAATCAGATTGATCTGCAATACTGGAACAACCAATGCAGCTTTAAGAATTCTTGCAATGACGACAGCATCAACAATCTGATTCCTCTGCTGGTTCAACCCTCCTGACGCCACCACTACCAAGAACCTCCTCTTCTCCTCCGAAATCCCGGGAGAGAGTCTCCGATACCCGAGGCTGAAATCCAAGCAAGGACGGTAATTTTCGCCATTGGGCTGCTGCCAGAACTCCCTCTCCGCCTCTGAAAGGTTCCCGAAAACCCCATGAGCCGGCAGTGGCACCATTGCACTGGCCGACAGTCTAGGCCGATCATCATCTTCCTCTCCATTGGTGGCGGGAACCGGAGAAGTGGGAGAAGGAGTTGGAGAGGAGAAATGGGAACAGGGGAGGAGTGGAGGGAATGAGGGGAAGAGGGTAAGAAAGGAAATTCCCAAGAAAGTGATGAAAAATAGGAGGGAGAGGTAGAAGATTGGGAGGGCTAATGGGTGCTTGTTGCTGCTGCTGCTGAAGAGCTTCGGGTTTCGAAGGCGGTGAGTTTTCGGGGAGAAGAGGAGGGCGGTGAGCGGAGTGACTGGAAGTAGGTGGAACGATGGCGTCAGCGGCTGTGGGTTTGTGGTGAATGCGGAGGTCTTCAAGTTTCTTGCTTTCGCCATGGAAATTACAGAGTGGTGGTTTTGGGTTTTTATAGAGAGAGAGAGAGAGAGAGAGAGAGAGAGAGAGAGAGAGGTGGGGGGAGGGAAGAGTGAGGAGTTTGAAAGATTGGAAGAGAAGAAATGAAAGAAATAAAAGAGAAGCTTGTGGTGCAAGGCTTCTGTTCTTGATTTTTCTGTACCGTCCGATTTGTCCTTTGTTTGTTGCAAATTAGATTATTAAAAAAGGAAACTAATGAAAATGGTTTTTTAATATAAAAATGTGTTTTTTTGTTAAAGTGAACAGTACCGTGGACTTTTCGTTAACTCCCTATTAAAAATGATCCGGGTGAGGGTTTGCTGGTAAATGGGCAACACAGGTTATTCCGTTTGGTTTTCCCGGGAAAATAAAAAGCAGGTTTGCTCAAAAGTGCTTATTGTAATAGCAGTTTTGCTTAGATTTGGGTTGTTAGCAAAATAAAACTGTGAAATGGCTGGTAGTTAACCATACCTGCTGAGTGTGATTAACTACAAGTTATGTATTCGACTTTTGGAGAGATGTTAACATGAGATGATTTAAATGCATTTTAATTTTATGCTTTGATTGGCAAGTGAGAAAATAAAAAAGAAAAGGAGAAAGATAAAGACAAAGATGGTTTTTATGGAATAGAATGAGTGACTAGAAAGACAACATATAAGTAAGGGTAGATCCACACGCCCATTTTTATTTTTCACATATTTCTTTCAATTTTCAACCGTTTAATCGAATGAATTAAAGAAGATCAATAACTAAAAATTAATAAAGGTGTACAGGAAGTAAAAATAGGTAGGTGAATAACATTATCTTATAGAAAATAGAACCAAAGGGCGACTCAATTTCAATCTAAAAAGTTTTTTATTTATTCGTACAAGTAATGTTGTGGTAGGGAATTCGACTACAAATTCTCGAATGTAAGAAAAAACGCTTTCAACCACTTGAGTTGCAAACTCTTTACTGCTTTAACAAAATCTTAGAGTAAAGAGTAGTGTACGGTCACAAATTCTCATGTAAGTCCTCTCTCTCTCTCTCTCTCTCTCTCTCTCTATATATATATATATATATATATGAACAAAGCTTGGCTATCGAACAATTAGCAGCATTTCATGCTAAAAGCCAATGTGGATGCTCTGTCTAGTTTTTTTTTTTTTTTTTCTTCTTCTTCTTTTAAAGTGATTCAGTTTGAAAAGTCAATTAGATATGCATCAAACCAAAGAGCAGCCACATTAACTTTTTAGCAAAAAACTAATGCTAATTGTTTAGTAGCCAAGCTTTATTCTCTATTTATTACGAAATACTTATGTTGCTTTATATCACATGTCACTCATTTCCATTGTCCTTGACGCCCCAAGTTTCCTTCTTTCTAATTTAAGATGTGTCATTGGCAATTTGGCATAGTTTCATAGTTAAATTGGTCCAAGTATTACACAAGAACTTATGCCGAAAATAAGTTGCAAACTACTGACAGTCGCCTAACACGTGTTGTTGATAATCACTCACACGCGTAAATAATTATTTGCCGGCGATCATTACTCAAATGCTCATAACTCTTCTAAAATTACCAACTATTGCCACTCGTTCGCATGCATCAATGGTTGTCAGAGAAAAAAAAAGTCTCACAACTTATCAACGTCTAACAGTCACTTTCACGCGCTTGAGCAACTATAGCAAGGCTCACAACACAACTTCGGGTGGGTCAGTTTGGGTACGGGCACGTACGGCCCAAAACGGATTCTGGCTGCCGGGATCGAGCTAGATTAAATTCGCACGCAAAGTCAAAGAGGCCCACTGAATTACAAAGTCCCAAAAGCTCAAAGGAAATACCGAAGAAAAAGAGCAACTTTATCGCTAGGACACACAGAGCGGGTCACTGAGTCAGCTCAGCCCAGCACAGGGGAGATGGCAAAGCAAGAACCGGACTCCGTCGTCTCTGATCTCATCGGCTTCCTAAACGCCGCCCCCACCGCCTTCCACGCCGTCGGTAAAAACCCAGATCCCCTTTTTATTAAATTTCAATCCAGAGTTCGTTCTTTTGTTACTTTGTTGAATTTGAATTTTGAAATGTGGGTTTTTGTTTTTTTTGTTTTTTTTTCGATTTTCTGAGCTTTGTTATCGGCTTCGATTTCTTCTGCAGACGAGGCGAAGAAGCGGCTGCGAAGCGCGGGCTACGAGCAAGTTTCGGAGAGGGAGGATTGGAAATTGGAGGCTGGTAAAAAGTATTTCTTCACCAGGAATTACTCCACCATTGTTGCTTTCGCAATCGGTAAAAAGTACGATTAGTTTCTCCATTGTGTTGTATTTTGGACGAGTTTACTTGCTTGTTTTTATCGGTATAATCTCCGTTTAATGTCGAAAATTCCGTAGGGAAAGTGTAGGAAAAATGATGGAGTTAAAAGTTTTAATCTTTACGGGGTTTAGTTTTTCGGAAAGCTAAAGTTTCTATGCGGTGTGTTTTTGTGTAGGTATGTTGCTGGAAACGGATTTCATATAGTTGGTGCTCATACAGATAGTCCTTGTCTCAAATTGAAACCGGTTTCCAAGGTATTCTCTTGATTTGTTTGAATTTGAATTGATTGTTACGAAAACGAGATGATATGATAATATTTAACAAATGGACACGGTGTGGAAAAATTGAACGGTTTGGGAATATGGGCGGGTTGTGCAGGTAGCTAAAGGCGGGTACTTGGAAGTGGGTGTCCAAACATATGGCGGTGGCTTGTGGCATACATGGTTCGACCGTGACTTGACAATTGCTGGAAGGGTGATAGTAAGAGAAGAAAAGGATGGCTCTGTTTCGTATTTGCATAAACTTGTTAGAATTGAGGAGCCCATAATGCGAATCCCTACTTTGGCAATTCACTTAGACAGGTAATCACGCCACGATTTATTACTGGTACTGAAATATGCATTGACAATTCTATTTCCTTGGCTTGATTAGTTCCGCTTTCTCATTTTCGTTAAATGCATATTTTCATTGTCTTTTGGCAGGGATGTTAGAGATGCATTCAAGGTGAATGCGCAGACGCATCTTCTTCCCGTCTTGGCAACGGCAGTCAAGGTAGTCTTGGAATTACATACATCGTATACACTGTTATACCCATGCCCATTAGATCATAGATTAGCATAAATTTTTCTTCCCTTCTATTCATTGTTTCTTTCTTTTACCCAAACAAACTAATTTTGTAGGCAGAGCTCAATAAAGTGGTTGCTGAAGATGGTGAGGCTGATAATGGTATTCTGACTTCTGGAGAGAAATCTAATGAGAAAACAACCTCAAATGCCTTGAAACATCATTCACTTCTACTACAGGTTAATAATTCTGAAATCTAGGCTTTCTTTTTGAAATTGGAGGATCGATTGAATTTTTGGTTGATTTCAAATAAATTTAGGCTTTCTTTTTGAAATTGGAGGATCGATTGAATTTTTGGTTGATTTCAAATTACATGAACAAATTAACGGGATAATGAAGCAACTATACTCTTTAGATGGTTTCAACTCTGGGTATCCTCTTATGGTAATTATATTAATTTTCTCTTCCTTCTTCCAGCTACTTGCAGATCAGCTTGGATGTGAACCGGAACATATCTCTGATTTTGAATTGCAAGCGTGTGATACTCAACCAAGCATAATAGCTGGTGCAGCAAAAGAATTTGTTTTCTCAGGAAGGCTTGATAATCTTTGCATGTCGTTTTGTTCTCTAAAGGTAGAGTTTTTTTGTTTGTTTGTTTTTGTTTTGGGTTTTTCCCTCTCTCATGGTTTTAATTGTAGGCTTATAGCTGTGTTCCCTACTGTATATTACCGATATTACTTTGAGATGGTATATTCTCCTCATTGGTGCAGTTTGTGGAGGAGGAGATTGTTAATCATGTTTTTGTCCATTGTTCTTACTTGATACAGCTGTGGTGGAATTGTTCAAGGAAGTTAGATCTAGTTGGGTTATTCCAAAGGGATGTTTTGAGCTTCTAAGCACCAAGTTGGAGGCTTTAGGAAAGGGGAATAAAGCTAAAGCTTTGTGGGGCTGTTTGGTGTTGGCAGTTTTTTAGAACATTTGGTTGGAGTGTAATGGAAGAATTTTTGAGGATTATAAGGGAGTGGAGTAGAGAAATTATAGGGTAGAGTTAGATACTGGGCAGCCCTCTGGGCATCAATTTCGAATGAGTTCAGGGATTATTCACTTTCTTATATAGTGATGGATGTGTTAGCAGCCGTAAATTGAATTTGGTTCAGCTTAGTTACTAGTAAAGTAGTCCCACTTGAAAGGTCTTAGCTAGTTTTCTAGTTGGTGGATTTCTTATCCACTTGTTGTGGTTCTAAATTGTGGTTTCAACTTGGAGCAGCTGTTTCTTATTTCTTGCTTAATTGTTGACTCCCAGGCATTGGTAGACGCAACATCTTCTGATAGCAACCTTGAAGATGAGTCCGGCGTTAGAATGGTGGCTTTGTTTGATCATGAGGAGGTTGGATCTGATTCCGCCCAAGGGGCTGGTTCTCCAGCCATGTTAAATACTCTTTCACGAATTACACACTCCTTCACCACAGATTCTAAGGTAGTGAATCTTTGATGTCCTTTTACTTGTACAGTCATCCTGTTAACAAACACATCAGTAACTCTGTTTTCATCTGGAAAGGCTTCTTGTTATACACTGCATTGATTTTTTCCCCTTTTTTCCAGCTGCTCGAGAAAGCTATTCAGAGGAGCTTTCTTGTATCTGCTGACATGGCACATGCGTTGCATCCTAATTATATGGTATGTTTGTTTGATAAGTAATAATTTTTCCAGTGCTGTTAATTTTACACCATACTTACAGACGGATCTTTTTTCAGGACAAACATGAACAGAATCACCAGCCCAAGTTGCATGGCGGACTTGTGATCAAACACAATGCAAATCAACGCTATGCAACCAATGCTGTCACTGCATTAATATTCAGGGAGATAGCAAGGAATCATAGCCTTCCTGTCCAGGTCAGCCCCTCCCTACTTCGGTATTCTAGTTGTGAAAACTAAATAACTAAAATCTAGCACTCTGTTAACGTCAAACTTTGGCAAGAGATAATTGCAGGACTTTGTGGTTCGTAATGACATGGCATGCGGTTCAACCATCGGTCCCATTCTTGCAAGTGGAGTGGGAATACGAACAGTTGATGTAGGTGCGCCACAGCTGTCAATGCACAGCATACGAGAAATGTGTGCTGTTGATGATGTGAAGTATTCCTACGAGCATTTCAAAGCCTTTTTCCAGGAGTTCACTCATCTGGATGCAAAGATTAAAGTGGATGCGTAGGTCTACAGTCCTGCATTCTCATCTTCTTCAGAAGCTCGTATTAGAGGAGTTTGCTAGTTGCTTTTGGAAGTTCGTGCGAAAAGGAGTCTGCTAGTTGCTCTTGTGACGTCTTTGCTCTAAAGATGGATGCAAACGTAGTAATTGAACAAGCACCACCAGGGGTTCTTCTCGTTTTGGATTCTGGAGGAGCCCCAATTTCTTTGGTTTTGTGTTCCTGCATTCCTGTTTCATTTTATTTAGCAATTTCCTCAAAATTGATGCTGTTGCGTCGTTCAGTTAATTGTTCGGGTACGTTAGAGTGGGCATGTATCAAATCCAAAACGATGACATGATGTTATGTATTTTAACTTTTTCACATTTCAATTATATTACTGCTACAGTAGCATACCCAGTGCAAGAAACCCCCTCTCCATCAAGGGGTGGATTTTATTTTTTGCCAAAATACCATGCCAACCGAATTGTCAATTGTACTATACCGATTTTGTGCCGACCAGTAATGATACATGTTATTGTACCAAACCAACATTTTATGGTACGGTATTGGTATTCGATATCATTACTACGGTATTATCATACTGTACCAAAAAATAATAGATAATTATATAATATATTTATACTATATGATATGTCTATATATTACTTTATCATCCTTAGCTTGCTTTTGAAGAAGTGTTTGGCCTCTGAAATTTGGTAGACTGTTCTGATTGATCACACTTCAATAAAATCTAGGCCATTGATTTGATTTTACAAAACTCATAATTTATGTTTTAAGAAATAACATACAGTATATTTTTATTTTTTGAAGTTTAGATCCACTTTCAATTTTGCTTTTGAAGTTTTAAGAAGTAACATACAGTCTGCTTTAAGGAGTCCCATCATGCCAACAAGGACTCAAAGAAACAAATCCTTGTTTCATGTGGGCAACATATGGGAGCGGTAAACAACTTTCATAGCTTAGATACACCATCACGTGGCATTCTGTGCCCATGAAATAAGAACATGTGAACAAAGACTTACATGTCGTGCGACACTACTGTTGTGGTGTATCCGTGCCATGTAAGTCCTCACTTAAATGAGCATCAAACTTCCAACTAGTTTATGCACAACTATTTCAGCAGCAATCTTTGCAATACAAGTAACGAGAGAAAAACATAACATCGCACTACAACTATATTGTTCAGTAGAACTCCAAGAAAGAAATGAACAAAATTAAACCGACTAAAATCCATAATTCTTATTTCACAAGTTACTCCTCTCATTAAACTCTCCAGAGTTAAGACAGCAGCCGGTACTACCAGTTTGAAATTCAATAGAATATGGGCAGAATCGGCAGACAACGTGCGGACAATCGCAGATTCAATCATATATCAGAAAGCAAATGGACAAAAAAAAAAAAAAAAGAGCTAGGACTTCTGGATAATATATCCAAGCTAAAGGCAAAGGGACCCTGTTCTACGAAGAGAGCACTTTATGAACCTCAGAAGTGACCTCTTGGGGAGGCTTCTCCGCTTTAAGATTGGCAACAATGCCTTTCTGGGAGTAATAACCAATAACCTGCGTATGCAAATAATGAGCCTTGTTACAGACAATAATGACGAGAAATGAAAGCATATGAAGCATGAATTGGTGTAATAAACAAGCAGGTTGAAAATTTATCCAACTAAAAAAAAAAAAAAAAAAAGAAGAGACGGGACCGGAGCAAATAATATAACAATTCGCAAAAGGATATCAGCCCAGAAACAATGGCTAACATCTCTCTGCACAACCCTGAGACATTTCAAGCACATACTGCCTCGGGTTTTTAGAATATCACAGACAACTCGCTACGGTTCTATAAGAAAGTATACAAGTAAAAACAGATACTTAAAAAAGAAAACACAAACATAATCATCAGCTCCCTAAATGAGGAACCTGAATATGAATACAACAAAAACACATTTGCACGAGAAAACTAGTTAATAAATATTCACAATTCTAGAACCAAGGGATACTTCACTAATTATTTTCTCATCCAAATTTTCAAAGAAAATGTAAGAAGCCATACCGGTGCAGTTTGCTTGTGAAATGCTTCCAGCCTCGATCTGAGCACAGCTGCAGTATCATCCTTACGCTGAATCAGAGGTTCTCCAGTTACCTGAACAAAACAAGAAGAAAGGGAAGCATATGCTATTCAGCACAAATTCGCCAACGAGTATAATTGAAGCGCATGCTGAGTATACATACAAGCAGATTGACATAACACCATAGGCTTAGCTACTAAAATTAAAATTCCTTGTATGTTACATCCGACGTTAAAATGCCGTTTTTTCTTCTCACAGCAAATATTCTTGCCTCTCCTTCAAGATTCTTAGATGCACGAACAATGTTTTTCTAAGACCAAAAAGAAAGATGCTGCCCCCTTACATCATCAACGCCAGGAGTCTTGGGTGGTGCAAATTTTGTGTGGTAGGATCTACCACTGGATGGGTGTATCCAGCGACCAGTAATCCTCTCTTCCAAGATTGCATCATCTACTGCAAAGTTGAGCACCTTATCAATTTTAGCACCCTGCTTTTTCAGCATCTCATCCAGCTGCATCAAAAAAATATATAATACTTTTAGAGCATGAGACAACACAAACACAACAATTTTGAAAATATATCGGTTGCAACGTATAATCAGATTCCACAGTACGCAGACCTTCTGTGCTTGGACCACAGTCCTTGGAAATCCATCAAGAATGAAACCTTTCTGACATGAAGGCTTCTTCATTGCTTCATCTATGATGCCAACAACCAAGTCATCCGAAACAAGCTCTCCCTGAAATATAGTTACATTATACCATATCAGAAATTTATTGGGTGATACAAGAACACAGTTCAAAGAAAAAATCTTATGGCAAACCAACATACAAGGAGAAGTTTCTACCTTGTCCATAGCCTCTTTAGCCTTAACCCCAAGAGGAGTCTTAGCAGCAACAGCGGCTCTCAACATATCACCAGTAGCCAAGTGGCATAAGCAATACTCATCCTTAATTATGGGTGATTGGGTACCTTTCCCTGATCCGGGTGGGCCTGCACCATACAAATTTTAAGATAACACGCGCAAAAATATCCAAGAAAAGAAAGAAAGAAGAACTCCTTCCATGGAAATCTAGCTAGCAAACTGCGAGAAGAACATTCTTTAAGCCTTCAACCAAATTGGCCCTTCATGCATCATAACCGAAAGAAGCAACAACATATCCAAAACTCATAGCTTTTCCCTATCTTCCTTCTTGAGGAGGCGAAGGTGGGGATTAAATCTCAATTTAGAACATACATATTGACAGACACACACAGGGATACCTACATGAGTATGCAATGTATTAACAGGTCGCATGCCGGCATGCCAGAATTTGTCAACGTGACATCCTTTGGGAACGAATGTCTCAGCATTTGGCTGCATAATAGAGAATACAATAGCCAGATAGGGAGAAACAGAGATGAATAAATAATTGAGCACCCTATCCGTTTGCATCTTAAGAAAAAAACAACACCACAAAACAATCCGAATCAAACTCTCAAGCAGCCCGAAACTCCATTGGTTAGTAAAGGGAATTAGCTGAAAGACATAATTAAACTAAGTCAAGCAAATTTCAGCAACATTATCTTCTACCGTAGTTATTTTCTATCTGTTTCAACTTTTGATTAGATTTTCCTACATTTTCTCACTAACCAATCAATCAGTCAGGAACGAAAAGCCAACTCGAAACAATAATTCACACATAAATTCTCGGATCTGGGTTGTTCTTAAAAATCAAAACTTGACACGAAATTGAGAACCAGATGAACAAAAATAAGAGCTTTAATGGAGAATAGGGAGTCACCGATGAGAATGACGCGCTTGTCGGGCTTGGTGGAGCACTTCATGCGGCGGAGGAGCTCGGTCATGAGATCGACGGAGGGCACATCTTCCAGGTTCGCTGCTGCCGCGGAGCTGCCCGCCATGGCTGACTGTTTCTCTCTCGTTTAAGGGTTAGGGTTTTCTCTCTCTAGAATAACGGTAAGAGTGGGCGAAGAGAGAGAGAGAGAGGGTTTTGTGTTGTGTGTTTAAGCCTTTGGTGGTGGTTGTACTTTGTTTGGACTTCGGATCCTCCAATGCTTCAAACTCAAGCGGCCGTTATACCTATCCAGGTCTGTTGAATTACCTTTTTACCCCTGTCCCTTGGATTTGCTTTGAAATCTTTTTTTTTTCTTTTTTTATTTATGATTTTGATAATGATGTAATTCTCAAAATGGGCATTTGGCTAACTACAAACAGAATGAGCCATCATAATATAATAATATTTTGCACACCATCATTGACAGTAATTTGGTGAATCATATTTATAAAAAGAAAATACTAATAGACCGAACTAATAATAAAAGATTTTGAATTGACATTTGACTAACTACACAATGAATCATCATAACATAATATTTTCAACACCATTACTCACTGTAATTCGTTACTCTTATGTATAAATACAGATAAATACTAATAGACTAAAATAATAAATTCTAAAGAAAAAAAAGGCAGTGCACTAACTCTAAGGAGTCAAAGGACAAAAATCAAAGTCAAATTATGATTTTCTTAATGAGCTTAGTAAAATATAGAGAAAAAGTCAAAAACTTTAATTATTTATTTTTCTTAATAATATATTTTTTACATCATGTGAGTCTGGCCCATGCTTTATGATGCAATCCCCTTGAATTATTGGATAATTTGGGGGTATTAGAAAAAAGAAAAAAGGAAAAGGTCAAAGGAAAAAAAAAGAATAAAAAACCGGGGAGAATTTGGACTTTAACACTTTCCTTTTTAAAGAAATTGTTCCCGGAAAATTCAATGACAAGGAATTGCAATGGTGAAATAGCAACAGCAGTTGAGAAACACAGATCACACACATCCACCAAACAAAACCACGTGAAATCGATTCCACTAGTTGCTTGTCTAGCTGCGAACTTCCGGCGGATTTCCGGCCGCAGCTAGGAGTCGAGCTTTGGAGCTTTGCTTCAGGTACAAAATGAATCACATGTTCAGCACAAAAGCATATAACCATAAACACAGAGCTTTATAAATCATTGTCGAAAAGCTACATTGAACTTCAATTTCTATTGTCTGCAAAACTTGATCCTGACAGCCATAGAAACAGCAAAAAAAACCGATGATATTAAATTCAACTTGGGATAAAAGTGCAACTAGAAAGGTTACTACTACATAGAGAGTATTAGAACATGGTTTATACTGATAACGTAGAATCCTACTACAAAAACTGTAGATATCAAAACAACATATTGGCAGCAAGCCGGGATATATCCACATGCCCCTCGAGTGCCAATGACAACGTTGATTGTAATTTAGTCGCTGTCTTCACTTTTTGATTTCTTCTTCTTCTTCTTCTTGACATCACTGGCAGCCTGTATATCGTCTCCATTTTCATGTTTGCTCTTCTTCTTCTTCTTCTTGGCTGTTCCATCCTCCTCGGCATGTTCATTATTCGCATCCTCCATGGGTTGATCCTCCTGATCCAATTTTCTCTTGTCCTTCTTCTTCTTCTTTTCAGACTTACCCTCGGGGGCATCTCCATTTGTAGTGGCACCTGGTTCATCCACACCCATAGCATCACCATTATCTGCAGCTTTTGATTTCTTTTTCTTGCTTTTCTTCCCGGAAGCTTCCTCTGTTTCCATCTCTGTGTCTGTTACATACATGTAAACTATCAAAATTACACGGCAGAAAGCAAGTCTACCAACATTTTACGTCGAATCAAAGGTTAATCCTAATTCTCATATAACATAATTGACAGATTCGTGACCAGAAATACAATGTATTCCTATGGTTGTATTGATGTCGTGTAAAAAACTCTAAGATTCTCTCAGTTACACACCTTTACTTTGAGTGCTCTCAATTGCAGATTTCATGACATCAATGTTTTTGCGAGGTGCAACACCCTTGTCATAAAAGTCAAGTCGCTCCTCAACTTGCTCACGAAGCTTCTCCCCAAACACAGTACTGCTACTATCTGTATCAACGAAGGTTGCAACAATATTATTTATGCTGAAATAAACAGTAATACGTAAGAAAAGAAAAGTTAGCCAGCCAATACTGTATGAGGAAGGCTGAAACTCACCTGCAAAGCAATCAATGCGAGAAGCAATAGAGCACTTGTTTGCAAGATAACGAGCCATTCGGCCCTTGTTCCGTGCGGATGCTCGACCAATAAAAGATGAATGGAATATCAGTCCATATTTGGGTGTGTTTCCCCTGGTTTTTAGTGCCCTGCGGAGAAGAACAAAAGAGTCAACCTAGGGATGTAAAATGAATCTAGAGAGCTTTTTGTTACTTGTTTCTTGTCATACAGAAACAACTTTCATGTAGCATCTTGAGGGAAAGGGAGAGAAGAAGCACCTGAAGAGAGCCTTTTCTGCGCCTAGGATCTGAAGGGTAGAAGAAGGGCATTTAGCCAAATTTGTAAGACTACCAGCATGAGAAATCAAACGCGCTCCAACTACTTCACCAATTAAAGAGGCCAAATTGGGTGCAATGTCGCTCATTTTAGAAACCAGATAGTCATAAAGCCTTTTCCTGTACTCAGCTAGGTCCATCACCTTCTGTGCAAATTGCTGAACGTTCATCAAGTCTAGTGGAGACAAATCTTGCCCTGTGAAGAAATTAAAACAAAAATAACAATAAGAACGATCAATGAATTGATAGAAAAACAGATGAATGAAAAGCATAAATTGAAATCCTACCCATGGATGCTTTGGCGGCTTCTATAATCTCCTTTGCTTTATCTTCATCTCCAACAAGGTCGGTTAAATCTGATAGATGGTCTTCAGAAAGTGTTGACTTGTCTTTAATATATTTTGACACTTTAGCATAGAGATAATTGTCATTGACGATCTTCACCAATTCAGGAAAATGCCAAGAGTACCATTCTCTGCAGAGAAGGAATGAACAAGCATCCACAAAAATATTATTTCTTCTTTAAATTATTCAAACTTTAAACCCATGCTTTGCCGACAAAAATTTGTAAAACGGTTCAAGGTAAAATCCTAATTCATATTACTGAACTGAGAATATGCCAGTGCACGAAAGCCAGTATCAATACCTGACTCTCATGGAGAAGGAATTGATATCCTTATCAAGGGTATCTAGAAGGAAGATTGCTTGAATCACCATATTGTCAACACGGTTGACATTGAACTTGACCTTGGCCCTGCTGTAACTGTGCCCTAGACCAAGCTGGGCTTTCTCTAAGTCCCCAGGCTAGGGTGAGGAAATAACGAAAAATCAAAATTGAAAGATACAAATTCTAAAGGCTATACATCTTAAGCCCACAGAAATATAACAAACTAGAGCATGTATGAATTTAATATAAACAAGATAGGATGTGAAGAATTCAAACCTTTAGACTCTTGAGGAGCGTAACAAAATGTAATCGCACGCCACGAATCAACTCAAGGACAAACTCATTACTTTGGCATGGAATTTTAGTCTCTTCGAATATGTGTGACCCGATCTTAGGTTCGGAAACTCCCAAACTGAACTTTGGCTTCTTACCTTCCTTGACTTGTGGGAGGTTTTTTTCCAAAAATTTTCTTAGTTCATCGGTCATAACCCCTGAAACAAAACCACAACAAATAAGTAAAACCCTTTGTGTTGACGGAACCTCACCACACCAAATTAAAAGAATAAACTTCATTTAAACACACCAAGCATCCAAGAGAGGCAAACGTATACTTCAACTATCAACATTAGTAGATTATATAATCTATTAACCCACTTGAAATTCCACACATGCTTTACAAGACACACTAGCAAGTTTTACGGAGCAGAAAGGAGAAGGGAACAAATTGAACATCGGTACCTTAACACAACTAGGCAGCTCATATAGTTAAATACCTAATCAATAGGATCAAAGCTCCAATATCCTATATTTTTGCAAGTTTCGCAAGTTTTTCATGTAAAACTGCGGAACCGGTTAAGTTGACTTAAAATTTTCTACATTTCTTAATAATCAATAGCGGAAATGTAGATATTCGAATGCAGCAACAGTTAATCAAAACCCCAATACATGCATAAATTATTTCCCTTCAATTTCCTATCAACCAAACAACAACAAAAATCACAAAAACATAAAAATGTTCAAACTTAAATAATCAAACAGAAACAAAAGCAATCAAAAACCCTAAAAGAAACAAGCTTTCATTCTCCACCTTCAGAGACTGAGTTGCATTGGTTAAGGGCATCGAGGGCCGACTCAAATGGGTCGAAAGCTGCGAGCTGGACCACCTTCCCGAACCGGTTGATGTCCGAAATGGAGCCCCGGACCGCCTCGGTGTTCTGCCCGATTTGGTCGATGCCATGAGCGAGGAACAGCGAGTAGCCTGAAGCTGATTCGTAGAGCAGGTAAAGCGCCATCGAGCACTCGAAACGGCGGCGTTTAGGGCTTCGACTTTGTCCGTGGAATCCTCACTTTCTCTCTCTAGAACTGTCAGAATCGGCGGTGGAGAGAGAGGGGAAGGAGAGCTGAAATTCGAGGGGGTTAGGGTTTAGGGTTTTTTCAGTGAGGAAGAAGTGGGCTTTGTTTATGTAGGTGGCGGCAAGTAGTTCGGTCCGTTGGATGTGTATACTGGGTTTAACGCTTGGTGAATCTAACGGTCATTAGGTGTGGGTCTCGAGTAGTTAGCTTGCACGTGTGTGTAGGGTGGTGAGGATGATTTGGGTATGTTTGGATAGCCGCATATTTCAGAACTATTTGGGAATTGGGGTTTCTTTAGACAAACTGAGGATATCTATGTTCCGGATTAATAATGTAATTAAAGGAGAATATCATACCCGTATTTTATACGTCACGTCTTGGGTTCGATCATTGGTGAATCATAGATGGTGGCCAAGATGAGGCTGAAATGTCTTTATGAGTCTTCTTGACTCCTAAAAAGATGGACTATGGTGACGAAGTCACTGATTGATTCTATTTAAAAATAATAATAATAAGATTCCGAACAAATGTTGATACAAGCCCACAAGATGTTCATTTTGTCAGTAGAAGTTCGAGGTTTAAGGGGTGAAAATACCTATCGTTCTCTTTTTTGTTTTGTGTTTGGTCTTAAATAATCAAGTAATTAACTATTACAAAACCAAAAGACCATTGAGATTCTCTCTAAATCGCCAAACCAAGAAAACCAAACGGCTTAGTAATACTGTAATAGTTTGGTTTGAGTTTGGTTTTTGATTTAGTTTATTCTCTTATTTTAGTTCAAACAAACTAAACCGCACCGCACCGCTTACAGTTTACTGTAACTATAACTTAAAAGATAAGATCGATCTAAATTGGACCGAGCCACCTCTACTAAATTAATTTTTCACTTTTAAGATCAAATCACTACAAAAATCGTCATTTTTCTTTTCTAGACACCAATCTTCCTCACTCATATTTCACCTAGTCTCATTTTCTTCACATCAAAGTAAACCATTACAAATTTACAACAGTGGCACCCGCCATAAACGACATGTCGTCTCATTCGGCCTGTTCCGTAAAATTCTCAAAGTGTAGCTCTCTGTAATCCCCGATTAGGGCAATCCAACGGCACTGCGCAGGGAGAAGAAGAAGACGACCAACCAATGCTTCAACAAATTCAATAGCATCAAATACTTATTCAAATCAAAGAACCAGGTAAAACCAATCTCTTACCCTCTTACTTCTCAATCCGATGCTTCGTTTAATTTACTTAAAACTAAAGCAAAAAGCTTCACCATTTTTACTGAGCCGCCATGGAAGCTTGTATTCAACCTCCACTGCAAAACCCACCTCAAAGTTCTCGAATTTCACCGACCCACAACTTTTTACAGCCTCTTACCTCCAAAAATCATGTGGGTTGTCCTCAGATTCCGCCATTTCAGCTTCCAAGAAGCTCCAGATCGAACCCACCGCCACCCACCACCCTGACTCGGTACTGAGTCTGTTCAGAGCTCACGGGTTGACTCGGAGCCACATCAAAAATCTAATCACCAAACGTCCGGGATTGCTTTTGGGCGATTTAGACAGTAGCATTGGACCCAATTTGGATTTGTTCAAGTCCTTGGGGTTTTCGGGAACTAGCCTTGCGAAAATGGTTGGCAAAGAGCCTCGTGTGCTCGAATGCAATGCGAAAACGGTGTTTGAGTTCTTTAGGAGTCATGGATTGAGTGAAAAGGATGTAGCATCCTTGATGATGAAGCTTCCTGCATTGTTTGTATACGATGCAGAGAAGATTTTTAAGCCAAAGATTGAGTTTTTCAGGTCTTTGGGGCTCTCAGAGATTGAAATCGCGACGATTTTGTCCAACGAGCCTTATGTTTTAACTAGGAGCCTTAAACACCACTTCATACCGAGTGTTAAAGCACTTAGGCGGTTTCTTGGCAGTGATGAGAATGTGCTGAAGGCTATAAAGGGATACTACCGGATGCTTGAGTGTAATTTGGAAAAGTTACTTGAGCCGAACATAACATTGTTGAGGAGCCATGGTGTGCCAGAGTCACTGATTGTGAAGATTTTCATGATTCAGCCAAAAACACTGCTTCTGAGGAATGCAGTGCTCAGTGAGATTATTGGTCATGTTAAAGATTTGGGTTTTGAACCTAATAATCTGCTATTTGTTTTAGCTGTGCGGAGCATGGCAGTGATGAGTACGGCACTATGGGAGCAGAAGTTGGAAACTTATACAAGTTTAGGTTTGTCGAAAGATGAGATTTTTGCAGCGTTCAGATCGCAACCCATGTGTATGATTACTTCGGTGAAGAAGATCCATCAATTGATGGATTTTTTTGTGAATAGGTTGAATTTGAAGCCGTCAATGGTTGCGAAGCATCCAAACCTTTTGCTGCTCAGCATGGAGAAGAGAATTCTTCCTAGGTGTTCAGTTCTGCAACTTTTATTGTCACGGGGTTGATAAAGGAAGACATTAACTTCCCCTATGTGCTCAAACTGACCGAGAAGGCTTTCATGCGGAAGGTATTGAGCAAGTATGAACAAGTGGTTCCTGACATTGTCAAGGCAAATAAAGGCCAGATAGAATTTCAAGGGTTTCCAGTTCCCTTAATATGCAAGTAACAATGATGAAATTGAACGATTGAGCTTGTCCAGAAGGATCCCGAATTTATTAACTTCATCGTGTTGGCTGTGGATGCTGATCTTACTCATTGGTTGAGAAGTTAAAAGGGAACAAGAGCAAAATATCAACCAGTTATCTTGCCAACCTTGGATGGCAATAAGAACTGGTCAATTCTGAGAACTAAAGACGAATCAACATCTGTAGCAAGAAACCATGTTTCAGGATAGTAATTTCTTACATGCTATGAACTCACCTGTAGACATGGTATGTGAGACTTCAAATTTCAATTTATTCAAGGATGTCCAAGTTTGTGAAGCCTTGAGTAGGAACTACACATTTCGAGCAATGTTATGGCCTCTAAACTGGATGATTACTCTTTACATTTTCATTTGTTTGTCTTCCTCTGACTCATTTTGCATTCTGTTTTACTTTGTTGTGGGATTTCAGTGCATCCACACAGACGTTTAGAGGTGGTTTAGCGTTTGTATTTGTGTCGTGGCATTAGATGAAGAATATAAAAAGAGAGATGTAACTCACCCAATTGTTTGTTTAGCGTTTCTATGCGTGCACTGTTATAAAAATCCCTCCTTAGCCCCTAGGTGGCTGGCCACCGTCCCGAGTAATGTTTAGGCGTTTGAAAATTAAGAAAGGACGTCTAGACTAGCTAAGGCGCCTGTCCCGCATGGGTATCTACCTAGGTTGCGACTCACTTAGACAAAAAATGGATAAATTTCAATTTGCGTTGAATTTTTTTTTTAATAAATTGTAAGAGACTTGTTGAATACTTAAATGATAACACGTTATATGCTTGTTTCTCATGTTTTCATTATGTTCCAATACTTCATAATACATATGTCATTCTATTTTGTAGTTATGATGAAGTTATATATATTTTAAATATAAACAGACATTTATTTACACGAAATATAATGAATTTACTTAAGTCCGTTTAGTCCACCTAGGCGCCCGCCTAGCCACCTAGGCGCTAGGCCCCAGCCGGATTTGGATCCTCTTCTGAGCTAATGAAGAGGATCCTACTCATCAATCATCCTGGACCGTTGGATTTTTATCTAACTGCTACAAACAGGGGTCCCTTGAAAGTTGTAATGATTGTAGCCGTTGGATAAAAATCCAACGGTCCAGGATGATTGATGAGGAGGATCCTCTCCATTAGCTCAAGAGAGGATCCAAGTCCGCCCCAGCCTGCCATCTAACTAGCGCCTAGCGTCTTTTAAAACCTTGTATGTGTGTCTATCCGCCTGCACACAGTTCGGCCCTCCCCTATATTTTGGTCCCAACCACTCCTTGTGGCCCAATCCATCTGTGTCTGTTGCCCATGCGGCGGGCGGGCACAAAAATCTCTCCTTGGTTGGGCCTTAGTTTGGTGGCTAAAGCATTTCATGACTTTAGGGGCAATGGTGGTCTATTTGTGAATGATGAACCATGTCCATGAGAGCTGAAGGCAATGAATGCGAAGGGTGAATGTTCTTAGTGATGATGGTAAAAGCAAGGGCATATATTTCATTCTTCAATAGCATATGTGACCTTTAATCCCACCATCATCATTTAGGCAAAGTAGACTCTTGTTATGTGTAACCACTACACCAATTTGGAGCATATGGGCCACTACTTTCCACAACATTAGAGTGTTTTGATTCTTATGTGCAAGTAAATGTAAAAAAAATGTCATCAAACAAACTCCTTCCCTTTCTTTTCGTATCCATTAGTGACAAGTAAACGTGCCATAAATAGCTTTTTAGTCAAAATGGCTTCTGAGATTGATATAACTCAAATATAACTTATCAGTTTGGTCTCTAATAATAAAAGTCGACAAAAGTGATCCCTAAGTTTGTCCATAGATAATTATTTTGGTCATTCTATGAAAAATCTGTCAGTATCCTCGTTAATGCGTTACGTGGTTGTCCACATAACCATCTTTTTAGTGTATTTTTGTCAAACCAACTCATTCATTTAATGAAAATATTGACAGATTTTTCAGATAATGATCAAATGATTTACGATGGATAAACTCAGAGACCATTACCATGAATTTTCATTATCAAAAACTAAATTGAGGAGTTATGCAATCTCAATAACCATTTTAGCTAAAAAACAGATGCTTCTTTATTTTCATTTTGATAATAAAGTACTTTGCATAAAGATATTTCATCATGCCAAAAAAGAAGAGATCTCTTCGGATCTCTTCCACCAAGATCATTAGATCAAGTGATCTGGATCTTTTAAGATCTTTTAAAATTTCATTCAATGATAAAAAATTATTATTGCTTTTAAGGAGTCAAAATAGGTGGGTCGTTAGATGAAATTTTAAAAGTTCAGATCACTTAATCCAGTGATCTTGGTAGAAGAGATCCGGAGAGGACCTCTTATCATGCCTAAAGGTGAAACCAATAATTGGTGGTCCCATTTGAAAGGCAAATGTGAATATGATTATGGTACCGTCTGTTTTTGTCATGACCACTAGATATGACCATGTAGGATGCAGATATGTATCTCCAATTCTTAGCCTTATCTTTTTATTATTATTATTATTGTTATTATTATTAAGGGGTGGAGAAATGTTCGAAATTATTACAATAATTTAATAAATGAGAGAGTTTCAAATTCAGGACACATAGATGAAAACCTAACAACTTATTGATTCCTCATTATTATTTATTACATTATAAATTCTTACTCCACTGTGATTACATATGTAAAACCTAATCTTGGGCAAGAAGTCTAACAAGGCCCGGTAATCAGGGTTTTATATTAGGGAACTGTGACGAAAAGTTCCTGGTACTGTTCACTTTAACGAAAAAATCACATTTTTACACTAAAAAGTCAATCCTGATACTATTCACTTTACCATTTATTTTGTCCGTATCGTTAAAACTTAAAGTTTTTAAGCTCTTTTCATTAGTTTTCCTTTCGTATTATGGAGGGTGGGAGTGGGACACAACATATGTTCTATACGTATGGGACCAATACCTTAAACAGGGATTTCGCTTCACTGTTCACAAAACGGGAAGGCACGCTTCATTGTTCATAAAACGAGATGGCACGGCATTATCGTGTTGCCGTATAGCGCTACAAGGAATGCTACGTAGGCAATCATACATGTAATACGAGGGTACTATCCATTCCGCTCGAATAGTGAAGCGGGATCCCTCTAATGATTTCTTTCCAAGTAGGGTCACTGGATGTCGTATAGATTGGGTTCTTTTCCCACTCAACCTTGTTCTGTTTCATGGGGAGCTCTCATCTCACACTAACTACTTGCATAATTGAATTGGGGTTTCCATTTTTGAATCATACACGTATTTCAACCATGACATTGAAATCATCAATCTTAATAACTAAGTAAGGGACGATTCTAAGTCAACAAGGCTCTCCGCTTCACAAGGGTTGGTGGGGGACTAGGTACGCAGCCCTCTCTTTACTTTACAAAAGGCTATTTTTACACATTGAACCCGTTACCTTTAAGTAAAAAGGGAGCAACATTTCTGTCGCGCTAAGACTCGTCCTCAATAGTTAAGCAATCATATAAGTAGAAATAATTTGTTTCTTGCACCTTCTTCAAATTATGCAATGCAGTCATATAATGATAATTTTTCCGGACGATTGACACCAAAAAGTTCTCTTATATTATCGTCTAAACTCCAAAGAAAAGGATTCGAGCTAAAGTGTAGAGAAAAAACATATTGTCCTAACTAACTTAGCTACGCTAAAATACGGAGTAACTTTAATATGTTTGATGGTCATAAAATTGGCACCCACCACTAGCGTATGTCATATCTGTAATCTGCTTTAAATGTGGATAAGGACTTCTAAATCCTTCTGCAACCAGCAAAAGCAAATCCATGCATGGTTTATAACCTTATTTACACACACACCACACATTCATTCGAAAGTGCTACTTGCAAGTTGTATTGACTTGGTCAATCTTGCAAGTTCTTGGTATTGTTATTTATCTCTAAGATTATCTAGCAGTGTTTAAGGCTGTGAAAATTTGTTTAGGGTTGCTCGTCGGTTCGAAAACGTTAATATTTCGTCAATCCGCTTTCGAAACGATCGAAATTTGAGTTGCGAGTTTTCTGTTCGAATCCAATACAACGTGATTAGTTAGCAGTGCTCAGTAGATTTGCATGGGCTTCGTCTGCTGCTGGTTTTGGTTTGGCACACAGCCTGCAAAGTTATGGTAAGCAGCAATCACAAGTTCCAAGGACATGCATTCCTTTTACCAATCTACCCTTTTCTTTTACATATTTTCTGTTCGCAGTCGAATTAAAAGAAGAAAACTAGCAATGCTCACTTAATTTATAAAGTTCTTTTCGACTTTCAGTTTGGTTCAAGCTCTTAATATATAAAGCAAGTTAAGTTTCTCCCGATTGTTAAGTTTATCTACATTTTTTTTGGTATTATTCCTCTTTTGAATGGACGAAAATAACTCTCAATTATAAAGTTGTTAGTTGGGGACAAACTAATACATTTAAAAATATTAAACGGTCAGAAACCAAAATGGAAAGTCGATAAGGCAATTTAAAAGATGGTACCAAGTTCATACATCATTTCTAAAATTCCTAAAAAAAAAGATTAAGAACTACCCTCCACAATTAACTTTTTTTTGTTACAAAACAAAACTTTTTTCGTGAGAAAATTGTATGAACAAATAAAGAGCAACAGATTTTTGTTGTGTTTTCAAGTTGATCTCAATGAGGTCTACCACCTCTCTCAGTTGCTGCTCAGAGAGGGCAAAGACTGCTTCATAATATTAAGTAAAGCTAACTCCATTAATGCTGGAGATAAACCAGTTTTTTTTCAAGAAAGGACACCATGTGGGAGAACTGTAGTGCATTAATTCCTTTGTGGGGTTTTCTTGTTTTGCTTGAATTAAATCTAATAAACTCGGTTTTGCAGACGTGAATTGGGCTAGTTGGTTTATGCATGTGCGTTTCCTTGCACTCAAGTTTGAACCTCTAAGTTAGTTGGTCATCATGCGTGTTTGTCTCCTTGTATTCAAGTCTAAATTCCCTCTCGTAAAGGGATCTGAGTAATTTAGGATATCAGACATGGGAAGAAAATCTAAAAAACTAAGTTTAGTCAGCAAGTGTAATCATCCTCTTGGGACTTCAAGGCTTCTTGATTTTTCTCTGTTTCTGCCTGCCTCATATACTCAACTGTGGACATTTTTCGTCTTTCATCTTGGTTTCTCTAAAATCTCAGAAATTTCCAATTTTCCAATCTGATTCTTTGATAACTCACAACTGTGTTTCATCTTTAATGATCCCCCAATAATTACCCTCTTTGCAAGTTTTCGATTCCTGCTTTATTGGTTTCTTTTATTTTGCAGACTTCAGCCACTTAATTTCTTCATGAAGCACTTCTAAGAAAAGTGATTTTGTAATGGGGCTTTCTGAATCGTTTCTGCTATTCTGTTTTTCTTGGAGCTTCTTACTTCTAGGCACTCATCAACTCCAATCTTCTCAAACCCAAGTGCTTCTGCAGCTCAGGAAGCACTTAGAGTACCCAAAACAGCTAGAAATTTGGAACAGTCACAACACAGATTTCTGCTCCATTTCTTCACTTGGCCAAGTAAACATTACATGCTTGGACAATCTTGTAATTGTGCTCAGAATCAAGGGTGATAAGATTAAGCGATCCAACAAAAGTGATTACTTCAATGGCTTTTCAATCCAAAGCCAAACTTTATCAGATTCCTTTTCTTTGGATTCTTTTGTCACTACCCTTTCAAGGCTAAACAGTTTGAGAGTTCTTAGCCTTGTGTCTTTGGGCATCTGGGGTCCACTTCCAGACAAAGTTCATAGGCTGTCTTCCCTTGAGTATCTCGATTTGAGCTCGAACTTCCTCTTCGGTTCAATCCCACCAAGGATTTCCGCAATGGCAATGCTTCAAACACTTAAAATCGATGAGAATTTCTTAAATGATACTATCCCTGAGTGGTTCGATTCGCTATCCAATCTTACAACTCTGAGCTTGAGGAACAACAAGTTGGAAGGTGCATTGCAGGATTTTAGTAGGTTAAGCAGCTTACAAGTGCTAGATTTGAGTGGAAACAGATTGAGCTCTATGTTGCCTCCAATGCCAAAAGGGTTGGTCATGCTTTTCGTCAGCGAAAACTCCTTCTCCGGCAAGATTCCAGTGAAATATGGCAAGTTAAGTGGACTTCAACACATTGATATGTCACACAATGCACTTATAGGCACACCTCCTGCTGCACTCTTCTCTTTGCCTAATATTAGTTACTTGAACTTGGGGTCAAATCTGCTGAGTGGCTCGCTTCCAGGGAATCTAATCTGTGGAAGCAAACTCGATTTCATTGATATATCGAATAATAGTTTGAGGGGTGATTTGCCTTCATGTTTAAGAAATGAATCAAAAGAGAGAGTTGTGAAGTTTGGTGGGAATTGTTTGTCAACTGGTGTGCAGTATCAGCATGAACAATCATACTGCAAGGAAGTGATCAGCCCAAGGAGAAAGAGTTCGGAGGGAACAATGTAGGGATCTTGGTGGGTGTGATTCTAGGATTAATTGCACTTAGTGTGCTTCTGGTTTTAGGGTTTATCATTTTATGCAGAAGATATTGCCCTCAGGGGATATCGAAGCAGCATTTGCTCCATAAATCAGTGCAAGAGAATTCAGCAGTTGGGTTTTCGACCGAGCTTCTAACAAGTCCAAGTAGGTCAATCACTAACAAAAATGTACATTTTTTTTGTGTTTCATTGGATGAATATTTAAGCTTATCAAGTTGGTTCTTTCAATTATTTAGGGTTTATTTCACAAGCTGGAAAGGTAGAGATACAAGGCCTCCCTGCGTGCCGGATATTTTCTATGGAAGAGCTGATGGAAGCTACGAAAAACTTTGACAGCTCTGCCTTATTGGGTGAAGGTTCATATGGGAAGGTATAGTTTCAATTCAGAACATTATAAATTGAAACTTTTGACTTTCATAACAACATATGCGTTTTTAAGCTCTTACTCTTTTTTCCTTCGATATATAGCTATACAAAGGAAGACTATACAATGGAACTGAAGTTGCCATAAGATGCCTGCCTTTGTCGAAGAAGTACACAATTCGAAATGTTAAACTCCGGTTGGATCTGATTTCCAAGCTTCGGCACCAGCATTTGGTATGCCTTTTAGGGCACTGTCTCGATGGTGGTGGACAAGATGGTTACAGTCCGAAAAAGGTCTATTTTGTGTATGAATATGTGCCCAGTGGGACATTCCGGGATCATCTCTCTGGTAAATCTTCAAAAACTAAACACATTAATGTATTTTTGGTGGAAAAACACAAAATATTTTTTTCTGACCTAGCAATAACGTTATGTATGTGTAGGGAATAGTCCTGGAAAGGTTCTCAACTGGTCAGAGAGATTGGCAATTCTAGTTAGCGTGGCTAAGCCGTGCACTTCCTACATACCGGAATCATTCCTGGTTTCTTCTGCAACCGCCTGAAGACGAACAATATCTTGCTCAATGAGCACGGTATGGCAAAATTGAGTGACTATGGACTGTCCATTCTCACAGAAGAAACCGATAAATCCACAGTATGTCTCCTAAGCCCCTCATACTGACCAAATGATCACTTACCCCTACGATAATTTTTTCTTCCCTAGCGGTTCTGATTATGTTCTTGTCTTGGTTGCAGGCAAAAGACGGCCTTACATCATGGTAAATTCTACATCATATTTCTACTGTCTACTCTCTGCAGGTTTCTGATAGAGTTCGTAATCATTGACATTTAACCATGTCTTGATCAGGCAAATGACAAGTTTAGACGATGATGCTTATAGCTTCGGATACATACTACTCGAGGCTCTCGTTGGAACTTCCATATCTTCTACAAGAGAAGCAATCCTGCAAAATAATATGGTAGTTCACAAATTTCTACCTAATATTTTCACTTGACACAAAAAATGCGCAAAACTCATCATATCCTATTGTTGTCAAGATTTTGGTGAGCGCGCTTTCATTTGATCGAAAATGACTCTGCAATTTGATGTAGGAATCTCTGAGTAGCGAGGATAGGAGGAAGCAGATAGTTGAACCGGCTGTTCTAGCCAGTTGCTCACAAGAGTCTCTATCGATCGTGATCTCCGTAATGTACAAATGCATTTGTCCAGAGTCGAGCCGTCCATCTTTCGAGGACATCCTTTGGAACTTACAGTATGCAGTTCAAGTCCAGGAAGAAACAGCAGCTGGAGACCAAAAGATTTGACACTGCATCACATTCATTGAGTCAGAATTTTGCTTTTGACGCTAAATAAACAAGGAAATGTGACAGAATTTGGGCATTTTTTCACTAGATTTTGTAATTGTAACAAATTATGATAATCATCATGCAGAATTCAAAGTGCAATATGGTCAGTGTGATCGTCAATGTTGTTCTAATCCGCCCTTGTTATAGCATGTGTTTTATTTACTAATATTATCTTAAATTATAAACAGGGTTTTAAAAAAATGTGCCCCGAGGCGTACTTAAGCGGTTTTTGAGGCAGGGCGAGAGTTATAACGCCTCTGCCCACTCATCTAGACGTGGTTGAGGTTGAAGGCAGCACGGTATTCACAAAGAAGATGAACGCGAAGAAGAATTTTTCAGTCTCAACCATGAGACACCTCGTCTACGCCTCCCATTTAAAACATTTGTATATGAATTTAAAAAAAGGTGGTGGTTCACAGCAAGGTCTCAACCCATGAGACAATCTGGGCTAGCGGTGCAACGACCCCGTAATCCTTCCACTGTTGAGAGCGAGAGGTTTTCACTGCTCTGTTAAACCAGCCTCACGCATTGCCCTCCACTCTAAGGGCCACGTGGACCAAGCTTAAGCCCAAACCACATGACCCAACTCACAACTTGGAACGGGCGAGCCAGCAAATTGCAACAGCAGAGCCCTGCCAAATGAGTTGAACCGATGTCCCACCACCTTGGCGCCCCCACTTGAGTTGCAAGCTAGCGCGACCTAGCTCGATCGGCCAACAGTGAACAAGTAATGAGATGTATAAAGCGCTTGGTACAATTCTTGTTGGCCGGTGTTGGGACAAAGAAGTATATGAAAAAGTTCAATTGGCCACTGGCAGTTATACAAGCACTCATTTTGCAATATTAGGATTTTATACGTGGGCAGTCTCTCAATACGTAGGTAATTTTAACCGAAAACATGAAAAATTAGGGTAATTTGCATAAAAATTAAAAGACGCTAAATTCAATAGAGATAACTAAAAATATTATACAAACCTAAAAACCCGAATATGAGGTTAAGAGTAAGCAATAAAATTTAAAATATATGTTAAAGCTAAAGAAAAGTTGATACAATAATGAGGGAAAGTGAAGACTGGACTCCAATAAGGGAACTTTAACGAAAAGTTCCCGATACTGTTGAGAGAAAAATAACACTGGAATAGAAAATAGTTTGGATTAAGAATACAATGGAACGGAGAAGAGTTTGGATTAATAATACAATTGAATTTTAAGAGTATTAGACAATCTCCAAAGGAGATGTCACATTTTAAACCTAAAATTTAAATTTGAAGGCTTACGTGGCACTTTGACATCTTTTAAAGTTTTACTCTCCAACTGATATGCCAAATTTTAAATATAAATTAAAAATACATTAATGCTGTCTTTGTTACCTTTATTGTTGATTTGGACATTTTGACATTTCCTTTGGAGATGCTCTTAGATTGATATACAGCAGCAACATCTGTTACAGTACCAAGAAAGAAAGAAAAAAGGCATGATGAGCTAGGGACCATTCTGGTTCCTTAGTGGCTCCGCCCATGTTGCGACCGATATAATGCATCTGAAATTGCAGAAAAACTAAAAATATTCTTGATATGAATATTAAAAAAATAAAATAAAATAAAATAAAAAATAAATAACTATCTAATTACACACAACAAGATTAACATCATTGATAGTAGCATTTGCTTACACATTTTGTGAGTATGAACACATTTTTATAGAAAATGAGAAGGAGAGAGAGAGAGAGAGAACGTGGGGGGAATGGAAGATTTTTGTTTTGTTTTTTTTTTTTTTTTTTAAATTTTAAATATTAGAGATATTTTAACATCACCTATAGGTGAGGCTTCAATAAAAAACAGTAAAATTTGAACTTGTGAAATTACATTATTGCCCATCATTTTTTTTGTGTGATAGAAGACTAAATTGTCTTTTCACTCTCTTTTGGTTGACAAAGAGGGTTTCATTAATTAGTAGAGATTAGTAGAGATTAGTAGAGATAAGGATTTGATTGTATAAAAGAGGAGTTTACACTCTTGCTTGTAAACCATAATATACCAGAAAATGTAATGTATATGATGGATTCTTACCGTTCATCATCAGTTCTTCAAAATCTTGTCATTAATCCGTACTTCTAATCTACACGATCGATGCCCTCTGAATCATTAGTAGACGGGATATTAAGACCAAATTAATGACTTGATTAAGACCAAACCACGTGCTTAACATCATGCTTAATCTGTTATTATGTTGATGTTCTTGAATCTAGAACATACAAATTAATGACATGATTAAGACCAAACCCATAATCTGTTATTATGGGTCTGGGATCCCAAAAATAATGAAAGGTTTCTAGCAGACGGACATTGCTTACAAATTTCTATAAAATGGGTTTTGGGTGTTTTGCACTCCTCCCTCCCTGTTTTTTTCGCTTTGTTTTGTTATTAGAAAGTAGCGCGTGAGTATAGATCGTATCCCACCGCACATTAACGACATACTAATCCCTCTTCCTATGGGACAATTATTTATAGCAGAAATAAAGAAAAATAGGATAATATAGGAAACTCCTGCCTCCTTGCAATGGGAGTTTCGAACTCGGGACGCATGAATGAAAACCCAACACCCTAGCTATCCACTAGGATATTGGACCATCAAAGAAGTTGATGTAAGATTGTTTTGCTTGCAATATAACAAGTATATTACAAACCTATGCCAGTATTAAAAGTACAGGGCATTCTCACAGAAATACCTAGCCTATAAAACTGAACATTCAAGGCATATATAGTACATATTTTACCACTCTTTCTTTACAGTTTTCTGCATTTGTGTGCAAGAAAGAAGATGAGCTTGACAGCCATCTGGAGTTTATATCGAAACTTGAGTACATCAAGCCTCGCCCTTTAGGAACTTAGGGAGCCACTTAGCAGACTCTTTAGGAATGCGCTTGAGATTGTCTTTGTAGTCGACGTAGTAAAGCCCGAATCTTGGGATATAGCCTTCTCCCCATTCAAAATTATCAGATAAAGTGTAGTGGAAATATCCTTTGACATTCACACCACTCCTTCGAAAACAAAGACAGAAACAACGTAAGTAAATGCATGTATGCATCCTCAAACTTGTAAACATAGATTGCAGTGACTTACTCTATTGCCTTCTTGATCCGGTACAAATGGCGAAGAATGGATTGAATTCTATGTGGATCCTTAAGTGCGTCACTAAGTCTTAGTTTATCGTCCTTTGCCTCGGTTATTCCATTTTCAGAAATGTAGATTTTAGGGTCCTGGTACTTCTTCTTCATAAACTTTAGAAGTTGTTCCAGGCCTTGTGGGTAACTGTAGACGAACCGACTTCCTCCAGCCTACACGGATGAAAGAATTTAGTTTTGCTATATATAGAAAGATGGAAACTACATAGTACAAGATTATACATGCGTATCATCCTTGCGCATGGGTCAATGCTCTTTTGTATACCTGAGGACCAATTTGGGTTCCGTTTTCATCTACAACAATCACAACATGAAAAAACCGTGTAAGTCCTATCAATTTAACCTTCGATGACATAATAACACGCGTGTGCACACGCAAAAGAAGTAACATTGAGACATTATGAAATTTACCTGTGATCAACGCCAAAGCTAAAATATCGTCGCTATAAGAGATTGGTCCTTGTGGTTTTGCTGGGACGTTTCTACCATATCTTGTGGAGTAATAGTTGATGCCGACAAAACCTAAGGATCCATTGATCAGCTTCTCCTCCTCCTTAGTGAAATGTGGTAGCCTGTCCTTGACCAAACGTCTCATACTCTCTGGATATGATCCATATACTAATGGTTCCATGAACCTAAACAAGAACATCATATTGTTTTTAGGAAAATTTACAACTAGAAGACTTCTTATACCAATCGAGCAAGTAAATTTAGGACCAATGTAGATATATCTACTAACCATCCAAGTTCAAAGTCTAATATTCTTTCTGCTGCAGCTTTGTCTTCTGCCGAATTCGAATAAGGCATGACATATTGTCCTACAAGACTAATTCCAATTTGTCCGCCTTGTTTATCCTAAAAACCAATATTAACCAAGAAAGAACATTTATCTCATTAATTTGAGATACGCAAAAGACAAGATTTCATTCATTTCAACAGATTCAGTGTGAACATTTCACCTGAAATTTCTTCCGGTAAAGCTCAACGACTGAAGCATGGGCAAGGAGAAGGTGGTGTGCCACAATGTAAGGTTCCGTGGCTGAATTACCACCATTTGTGCATGGAAATACAGTTTGAACAGAACACCTACCCGGCGGACCAACGCCTTTGTCGTACCCCATTTTTGCCATGATCCACGGCTCGTTGATTGTAAACCAATTTTTCACCCTATCTCCAAAAAGTTTAAAACAAAGTTCACTGTAATCCTTGAAATCTTTCCTGCAAAACGTGACGAAGAAAATATCAGAATTTATGTCAATGACTAAATTGTATATTATCCTAAACTATGAGAAACGAAATGGATGTCATTTAGAAGGTGCTTACACGAAGGAGCGATTGAGGATGCCGCCATACTCGTCTGTCAAAGCTTGCGGTGGATCAAAGTGCATTATGGTCACAAATGGTGTGATGTCTACATAAAAGTGAAATATTAGAACCACTTTGGTGTGATACTTAACCCCGTCATATGATGTTAGAGTCGAACTTCATGAGTTTACAGAAATCTATGGGATCGTTCTGGATATACAGATTCAAAAAGCTTGGGTGAAACCAAGTGGAGGTCCGAACCAACTGAGGTGGAGTTTTTTTCATTCGACGATATTGATATAAAAGGATCTTATGTATAATATATAACAAGATTAATTAATGTCATAATATAAAGGATTTGCTTGAACAGAGATTCTTACCATTATTGATTAGTTCGTTGATGAAGTTGTTGTAGTGATCGATACCCTCTTGGTTTACTCCACCACTCAAGGTTCCCCCTACACATTAAGAATTTCAAACATATATAGAGGAAGAGTTTAGTAGAGATTAATCATAAAACCCTCAATTTTAATTTACAGATTAGAGGAACCACTTATTAGCGGAGAAAAAAAAAAAAAGAACTCGGTAAAATTGGTTACTAGGAAGAATCCTGGTCCAAGAGATGGAAAATCTGTGAGAATC